GATGTTAGCCTCTATTCCTGCTTACTGGTGGGCAAAGCAAGGCAGGCAGATGGGTTGCAAGGTTTCCTGTGAGGCCATTCTGGGTGGTGCTGTTACAGCTGGAGGAGGAAGGAAAGCCTGGCTGACTGCCCGTCCTGAAATACGGCTTCCCTCTGGGCATCTTCCCCTCTCTGCAGATGTGTTTCAACTTGCCAGGTGTATTTTGGGAGCATTGAGATCCTGTCTCAGATAATGTAGATCTCCATTGCAACCATGAATGTTCCCATATCATCCTCCCTGGTGGGCTCCTCTTGGGGACTCAGTCCTGGAGCAAAGATCTCAACAACGACAGAGCCTCCCGGATGAAAGGAAGAGCCAATGCGATGCACCTTTGGCAGGAGTGGCAATGACAGCTGTGATGGGCAAAGGTGTCACCCAGGACACAGAACTGCTGCAGCCACCTGCGTCCCCTGGCTTGGCTGGGCCTCCTGGGACACTGCACATCTTCAAGGAAAAAACTGAGCTCTGAACATAGTATTTTTAGACTGATTTCCTAAGGAAATGAAGGTTCTGTCGCTTCATGTCTGTCCATCTGTCCCCATCAAACCTTGAATCCACTGGCTATTTGCAAACAAGTTTGATGGAGCACTAGAATTCTCAAAAATATTTAAATTTCTGTTTGTGAAAGTTGGTGGCTGGGAAGAGACAAAAAGTGCAAGGTAATGCATGAATCTCCATGTGACAGAAGGGAAGGAAGGAAGGACTCAGCAGTCACCCCTTCTGTTTGAAAGCTCTTCATAAACCTCAGCACATGGTATTTCTTGCTGCAAACATTGTGAGTAGAGAATTCCCAAAGGAAACGAGCTACGTTAAATGAAGTAGAAGCTGCAGCCTGTCAGAGACACCCCAGATGTAAAAAGTCTGAGAAGTCAAGGCTTTGTTCACTGCACAGAGCAACACGTTTCACTCTCAGCCTCCTTTTCTCTGACAGGTTTGCAGGAAGCTTGTAAGAAACCATAACAGAAGGAAATCTGCCTTGCTGTGAAGGTGGATATTCATTTTTGTTTCATGTTTTACCTACCCATTGAGGGCGTGTGTGTGTCCCTGTGTGTGTGTGTTCTATTTATGAGGCATTAGAAGGCATGGAAGTACTAAGTGGCTTTCTGTGCACAGTGGTTTCAAATATGTATGGCCAGCTCCAAGTACTGACTATCACTATGAAGACCTTGCCTTTATGTTTTATTCCCTTCTCTTCCCCTTTGGCTGCCTCTGCCTTTCCAAATGCTCCCTATATCAGGGTTTATTATTTCTCCCTTTATGCTCCTGGTATGCATTTTGAGTATTGCTGTGAACAGCTAGCAAAAGCCTAAGCAGGATCCTTAGTGCCTTCAGTTCTCCTGTCTAATACTTCCCGAAATACCCACCATCATCTTTGGCTGAAAGGGTTGTCTCTGGGGAGCTGAGCAGTGGAGAGATGATGGCCCAAAGCTTAGACTCTGTGACTTCTTTCTGACCCTATCTGCTGGCAGTAGAGCTCTCACACCGCTGGGCATGCCCTTGGGCCACCAGCTCATTTCCTGGTAAAGAGCTGAGCTCTGTCAGAGGGCTTTGCTATCACAGCCAATGCAGGCTTCACTCTGAGCAGCCAGCTCCTGGTGACATCCTTGCTCCCCGTGACATCCACTTTGAATTTCAGAACTGAGAAGACCAAGGGTTTATCTGAGGATGGGAAGAAATAGGAGGGAATTAAGCAGACAAAGGAAAAGTGCAGTTTTTTACAAAGAAGCGGTCAGTGGTCAACATTTGCTGGTCAATAGAAGCTGCAGAGTAGCAGAGAGAGGGTGTTTGAGGCATGCTGGGGATGCTGGGCCAAGCCAGTGGCCTGTGTGGTGACCTCTGGGGTGGCAGCAGCCTCTGTCACTGCTGGCTGGAGACAGGCTGCTGCTTTGTTTGGCATAGGTTAGCAGGCTGATAAAATCATTGTTGAGCTGGCATAGTTCTTCCAGTTCTGTCTCATGAAAATGAATAAACCATGCTCCTTCTGAGCAGGGAAGGAGAAAAATTTTAGTAAATGTAGCTTGTTAGGTGGTCTGGTTTTGGTCTCTGCAGGAAAAGAGCTCAACCATGACTCTTTAGAGGGCCCCTGGGGAAGAGCCCAACAGTGTAACAGAATAATGAGTGTCGACCTATGAATGCATTTCATTACCAGCATCCTCACCCCACGCAGCCCCAGCCTGCCGCAGTTATCACGTGTGTCTGACAAGAAAGGTCACCCTGAGATCATCCTGCCTCTGAAACAGAACAGTTGCATTTCAGTGAGGGGGTCCTCGCTCCTGGGTGGGCACAAAACATTAGCAGATACTCAAGGGAAAGCTGCACTTTGGGGTGCTGCTCAGTGACATAGCGAGGGATTTCTCTGCTCTGAAGAACTGGAGTTGTTGCCCCCTGTCCCTCTGTTTGACCTGCCAAGGCCCCACTGTGTTGCAGAGGAAGCTCATGAGGATTTCTTTCTCCTAAATGTAACTCTCAAAATTTTCACTACTTTCCTTTCTAATTCAGTAGTTACAGCTGGAATTTTGAGTAGATGGTGCTAATCCAAAGCAGGAACTGGACCATGAGAAATGAGCGCTCCTGCTACACTTCCCAAACTGTGAGCTGCCAAGTCCAGCTGCCCAGCATGGCAGGGGGGATGTGTCTGTGTAAGGCAACCTCAGCCCTTGTCTTCCTGCCTGAGACAGCCTAACAAGGGCACAGCAAGCCTCTGCTCTGCCATGGGCAGCTTGGGTGATGTTGGGTTATTCAAATCCCTCTATTCTCCGTTCCGTCTGTGGTGAACTACAGTTAATGAATCTTCTCTTGTCTCACTTCGCTGTCTGCTTTGTTTAGCTAGATTGCAGGTTTCTCTGTGATCCTATGGCTCTACCTGATATATCCTTTCCGGACAGAGAGCCAGATCCCAGGACATGAGCAGCAGCCTGCAAAGCACCGCAGAGCTGGCAGCAGCAGGGCTGAGCAACCCAGGCACTGCAGGGAGTAACTGTGCACTGGGGGGTTAAAATTCAGCCCTCAAGTGGCTAATGCAAACCTGGCAGTTTAAGCACAATTTTTTCTTGAAGTCAGGCCTCTCTCTTTCTGCAATGCAGGCCTTTCCACAACAGCATCTCTAGCTCAGCCTTGAAGGAGCAGCTGGCTCCTTACATTCGTGTTCTTCTTCCCTCTTTCCCGTACAAGCACGGAGCAGCTGAGCCCTCTGCCCCGGCGGCCACACTCCTGAGGCCTTCCGTGCCATCGCTGCCACGAGAGAGGGCACCTGCTTTCCCCCTTGCCACAAAGCAAGCTCTGCTGACTTCCATTTTTAGCACTGATGAATCATGTTGGCTCTGCTGATGGCAGAGGGCAAAGACCTGAGCAGCCCCGACCACTGGCGTGCTGCTAAACTGGAGAGGTTTTGTTCTGGGTGGGCGGCTGTGCCTGCTGGCACAGGCAGGAGTAGGCAAGGAGAGCAGACTTTTAATCAAAAGGGTTTTAATACCTCATGGTGCTGGATATGCCACTATAAAACCTTTGGTCCCTTCATTTGCCTTTTGGGGTTTGCCAGCTTCTGCACCCCCCGTCCAGCTCTTCCCCACTCCTGCTCTCCACTTTGTCCCATGGATTTTATTCAGAGGAGCAGGCAGGGCATAAGCATAAGTAAAACAAGTGGGTTCTCTTGAAATGTGGCAAAAATAGGCACATTCTTTGAGTTCTGTGTTTAGTATATCACCAAGATTTCTCCCTTCTTCAGCCATTTTCTGGTAGGGAAGAGGTCAAGGAATTTATGCCAGTACTGATGAGATTTTTGACAGAGAATTTCCTTTTATGCTTCTCCATTCTGACCTGTCATTTCCTTACTGCAGCTGATATTTTAGACAGAACTTCTTTGGGGCAGGAAGGACTCCATCCTGAGAACTGCAGGAGAGTGTTTGCAGTTGCTACAACCCAAAGTCTGTCACTAAAAAAACAGTCAGCTTGGGAAGAACCATCAGCCACCTGTCAGGATGTTTTAGGTGCCTCCTTATTTTTGACTGTCAGGTCTTGAGAGGTACAATGCCTAAATCAGGTAAAAAGAGCCAACACAGACAGTTTTAATATTTAACACCATAACCCACAAAATAATTGTGTACTAAAAATGCCTTGCCATCATTTTTTGTAATAGCTTAGTTCTAGGTTAATTCATTTTAAACTCACTGATTGAAAAAGAAATGAAGTTGTGGTTTTCTCTTCTACCTACTCTTTTGCTTTTCTTCTGCTAGGACAGTTGCAAGCACTTTTGTTTATTTCTTTTCATTTCTTTTTTTATACATTTGAGGTAGTTTTTGTACCTTTCCATTTGTTATGAATACCCTGACCTTTGGGTGTTCAGTCTGGGACACCTGCAGCCCGACTCTAGTTGCACACTCCAAGCTGTACAGAAAATGCGTGTCCGATGTGCTGTTGTTGGCCTGAGGATACAAGTGCAATGAGGAAGCACTAATATCAGTGCAGAGCTGTGCCTGCCAGGTTTCCCAAAGCCCTCACAGCTGAGCACTAGAAACCCGACAGGCTGTATTCCATATTTGGTTTTAGTTGTTTATTTACTGGGGGAAGGTGGGAGCTGAACTACTGTGATGTCTTTATACATTTCAATCAAATCACAGACTTCAACACACAAAGAGATTCATGGTGTTAGAGTACTTAGAGTACATGCAATACTCTAACACCAAGGCTCCAGCAGGAATCAATCTTTTCTATGGCAGGCAGAAAACCTCCTCATAAATAGTCAGGTTGAGATACTGCTTGTGTTTGTAATGTTTCGTATGCTGTTTCTGATCAGAAGCCATCTAATCTTCATTACTGCTGGTTTTAAAAGAGCATTTCCACTACCCTATAGCTCAGAGGCCACCCACCTTCCAGTTATGCTCTTTGTCCTCCATCCTTCAGCCAAGTGTGGGCATTGGTGAGAGGTGCCCAGCTCCACTCCTGACACAAGCAGACACAGCCGCTTAAAACACACAACATGATTTTTTTTATTTGTTTAATCAGTTTACATTCCACAACTGACAGTTTACTTATTTATTTTTTAATTTTCCATGAACAAGTTGTTTAGTTAGTTACCAGACACGTTTTTAATTGATGGAAATACAATATTCTGTGCCAATCTGGATAAAACCAAAACCAAACAAAATAAAAAGGAAAGGAAAATTGTAAGATGTAGCCAGTTTTTTGGCAAAGTCCTGTGATGCTTTCTGCAACTTTTGTCTTTCAAAGTTATGGGGGTTTGTTCATTCCCCCTGTTAGTTCCCTGATCTCAACCCTGCCACTAAAATGTTCCTTCAGGGCTACAGTCCTGCAAACACCGATGCATGTACACAAACACCCGTGTGTCTGCAGATTAGCACCTTGGATTAAAAGAACAAGAAATTTGGGGTTGTTCCACGTTTAAACAACTTCTGTTCACCTCTGCTGCAACAGATTACAGGAAGAAATGGAAAAGTACAACACACTTGATAAGATGTCACATTACTTGTGAAATTAGCCACCACACTCACATCTCACCAGAAGGACCTAACGCAATAGTCAGTGGTTGTGATGTATTGTTAGCACCGATGGCCACAGGAGCCACTTTGCCTCTTGCAGCAGCACAAAAGTCCCAACCTTGCAGGACATGTCACTCTCAATTACTTCTGACAAATGGATGCTACTACCCAAAAATCATATCCTCGACAGTGCCCAAAACATAATCAGAAATGGACACTGGTTCGGATTTTTCAAAATATGCTAAAGTTTAATATATTTCAATGTAATTCCCAATCTAGCAAAGCACTTAGGCATGTGCCTAGCTTTGAGCACGGCATCCTTAATGGGACCTTTATGTTTGAAATTAGGCAAGTGCTTTGTGAGATCAAAGCTCTGTAGCAGTGCTCTGAAGAAGTCAGGATCCTGAGCGTCCTAATCCTGGGTTTCATATTTACAGCCACTGCAGATTTGAATAAACCAGCTACAGTCTGGATTTTCAAAAGTGCTGAAAACAGAAGGCTCCACCTGCAGCTGGTAGAAGTTGTGAGTGGGCATCAAATCACTAAACATCTGGTCTTTTCCCAGGCTTTTGGCTTCCCATCTCCAAAATGGCTAAAATACCTACCTACCTCAGACAGGTCTGATGTGACTCATACTTGTAAAATTTTCTGAAGAGAAAATATGCCAGATAAATGCAATGTATCACCGCATTTCTCTGAATACGCCTGAGTATTGTGGCATACTAGATCTTTTCTAATCCAGTTTTGATGTGTGCGTACTGCACTTAGAGGAAACATAAACATCTGGCCAAGACATACCCACATGACAAATGTCTTGTACCAGTCATATTATTGTACTCGGGAATGTCCTAGGAAAGTGCTGACATACTTCAATTTGCAGGCATTTAAGTGAATTATTATCCTAAGCTTCCCAAGCTATCAATTAGAGACAGTGATGATTGCTACTTTTCTCCTCATCAAAGGATGATTATGGGAGTTGTTTCATTTCTGAGCAAGAATAAAAAAATTCATAAGGAAAAAAGGACCAATGAGGAAGTCAGGAGAGGGGAACCCTCCAAAAACTTTTGGCAGTGTGGTATCTCATGGTTAGGGTGAATATTACTTGGGGCAGAAGATATCCTAAAGAGCAAGTATCTGCATGAGATGCACATACTGTGGACAGAGGGGAGTCCAGTGAGTCTGATTTCTCACTGACTCTTGTGTGAAATGCTCATGCCTTCACACAGGAGTGTTTTGCCACATCTGCAGCCATTTGCCATGGGCACAAGTGGGAGACAGCAAGGAGTCAGACCCACACGCTGAACTGGCCGAGTGGCTCAAGAGTAGCACGGGGGCTTGCACTGGAGGGTGACACTGTAGCTCTCTGATGTCAGGTGACCATGGGAGCTCCACTTGTCCCCCTGCCTTAGCCCCAGCATCGTTGTGGTGCCAGGCGTTGCTGCTGTCCCACAGGAACCTGTGCATTCCCTCTCTGCAGCAGGGTCACAGGAGTGGTTATGGCTTTCACTAGGAGGTGAGACAGGTTTTTATAAGAGTAAGTGGAAAATTATCCAAGAAGATAATCCAAGTGCATCAGGGAGGTGAGGGGTCAGGGCAGGCCTCTCTTGGCAAGATACACTCTTGGCAAAGTGAACCCAGCAGGGAGGAGAATATGCATGGCTGGACACACAGGGCTGTTGTAAAGAATGGGACAGAAAGATAAACTGGGACAGAATCACCCTTTAGAGCCTCCTCCCATGTGATGTTGGGCATTGACTTCATCACCTTTTAAAAGGAGGTTTTCTTTGACAGTAAAACTCTGAAAACTCTGCAAAACCCTTGTGGGATACCGTGAGTCAACAGTTGAAAGAGCAAACTTTGAGAGTCTCACATTCCAGAACCCTCCTCATTCCTCTCACAGAGAGGGAGGGCAGGAGGGTGATGACGAGAATTTAAGAACATTCTGAAAAGTCTTGCAGAAAATGGTGCTGCATCCTTAAACTTGATTTATTCTCAAGCTCCTCCTCATTTCCAGAGTTCACTCTTAAAGCCTTTATTTCTTTTTCACAGACATCTCAAATAACAAAACAGTCACATATGCAAGAGCTGGTATGGAATGGGATTCAGAGAAAAATGTCTTTACAGGAAGTATGTCTATATTCTCACACATGGGGAGGAAAAAGAAGAGAGGGAGAGAGAGATACATATCTTACTCCTCAAAAAAGGGAAAGGGAGAACAGGAGAAGAATGTCAGGATGATACACTACAGCTTGGGCAGGGTGGTACCATGTTAAAAATAACATTTGATCCCTGGAACTCAGCTTTATCTTCCACATTCTAGATAAAGTCTTTCCTTAAGCACTGGTACACAGTACTTTACAGGTCCCTGCAGGCCAGCTGAAGTCCCTCTTAACAGTATTTTTAAAAATTAAGTTGGTCTGAGAGATGGGTGAAAATTGTCAAGTCACTGACTTAAATTTAGCTGTAGAAACAAATAGTAGTGACCATACATTGACACAAGATCCAAAGTTCACTTAGCCCTAGAGTTTTCAGAAATCAGTTTACGTTTCCCACTCCTCTGTGTTTGCGTTATTCAGGTAAAATATGGGAATATACAAGAGTTCCAGAGTTCTTGTACTAGATTAAATTGCTGATCCTTCCAGCCAGGCTGCCTATCAATATGCAATTCCAAATTTTGGCTCTGAGAGACTCTCACCATGAGATGGAGACGTATGTTCAGCCTTGTCAGAGCAGCTTTCTGAATAATACAGTCACAGTTCATTCTCTTGTTGAGTCCTCAGTTTGGTTTTTCTGATGACAACTATAATCCCAACAATAAGGGATGAAATTGCAATCTCTTTAATCTCCATGTAAGCTGTTTGTAAAGCAGTTATTAACATTGAAAGAAAGAATATGAAACTACCCAAACTGTACCTTGGAGGAGAATTTTTTGATTATCACTACCAGCTAGATGACTTTTTCAGGCCAGTTTGGGGACAGAGCAAGAAATTAACCTTTGAACTGCTCAGCCATTCAAACTTTTAAGATGTAAATTCACTCTTTGAACTGCTTCAGCAATGCCTATGACTGACAGAGAAAGGTGAAGAGTTCAGACCAGAGATCTCTGACCTCCAGCACTGGGACCACCCAGTCGTCTGTGCCTGGAGAACGCGACAAGGAACTCACCTCAAATACTACACCCAGAGTTTGGGGCAAGCCCTGTCCTTTACAGTCATGTTGCAGTTTGGGAGGGGAAGGCTGTAGTGAACACCTCCTATTGTTCCAGCAGCCTTTCACAATTAAACCTGTGTTTTACATGGTGAGCCCAGGCCATGCACCTGAAGCACAGGGACATGGCTGATCTCCGTATGGATGCTTTTCTGCACTAGGTACCCGATTCATCTCACCAGGATTTAAGATCTTTTAAGATTTTGGGACCACCAAAGAGAGGTGAGTGGTCACTGCATGAAGCGAGAAGGAGCTCCTACAGCTGAGTTAGATGTGAGTTTTTCTGGGTCACCATCTGTAAGTGACTGTGTCTCTTCACCACCTGTACAAGAAACCAAGAGAAATGAGCCCATCAGCACAAAGAGCTCAGTTAAGTGCCTAAGGTTAGGGGGGACAAATGCAGGTCAGAAAATCCCAGCCTTTTGTGTAGCTTGAGGTCACCCACAAAGGTGCTCCTTGTGAACATACACCTAGTGCAGAACAGCATTCCTACAAAGGGCCTCTGAAAAAAGGACAAGTGAGTCAATTGAGGGAGCTACTACTGAACAGAAATTCTGCCATTGTTTTTTTCAGTCCATTTCTTTTCCTTAAAAAAGCCCTTGAGACCCAGTCCTTGGACTGGATGTACGTGTGCGGATGTGCGTGCCGCTGACTTGAGCGTGGTACCCCTCCTCAGCTGGTGCAATGGCAAAATGAGGATTTTCCTGGGAAATAGTATTTTTTTAGTTTGTTTTGATTGAAATCTGAGATAAATGAGGATTGTGAAAAAGAAACAGTCCTTTGCCTGAAATTCTGTACATCAGCCTCAGGTTATTTCAGGCAATCATGAAGCTATGGACATTTTTCAGAAATTTACAAATATATATACAGATATACACATATATACATGTATATGTGTGTCAGCCTAAGGGCTAGATTTACTACTGCTTTATTTCAGCCACACACAAGTATAATGGTTGTTTTTTACAAAAGAGATCGGTATATAGTTGGAGTGACTTAGCAGTGACTGTTCCTGTGTCTATCCAAAAGATCCTCAAGTGGGCTGACATTTAAGTACATTCCCGCTACGTAAGTCCCATCATCACATATACACATAAATAGGACCCAGTCTTACAGCTGTTAATGAAGCAAATTTCCCTTTGATTCCAATGACCTGTAATCAAAGGGAATTTTACTAGAGAAAGAACTGAAAGTTCAAGCCCATTTTAGGTACAGTTTACAGTTTTGAAAGTTGTAACATTTGTCATACTAGGCCTCAAAATGCTTTAAAATAATTAAAGTTACCACAAAAAAATACCTCCAGAAGTTCCCAAATATGCTTTTCCATGTAAACAGGGGAAATTTTGTTCTGCAAAAGATCAAACCACAAATACATAGCCATAAACACTCTAAGTGATGGAAATTGCCAAATAAAAATAGTAACAGTTTAAATTAGATATCTGTGATTGCTGTTGGTGCCCAGGAGTTATAAATAATTCAGTACATTCTAACTGAATAGTCTAAGGCTGCACTTTTATTGTTCTGATTACTCAAACCTTTTTCTTATGATCTATATTGTTAATGAATAACCCTTTGTAAAAAAAATACAGCCTTATGCTCTAGAGCCAGAAGAAAATTCTTCTTGAGATAAAACATCACAAGAGCTTAAGCAAATTAGAAGCATATATGATTTTTTAAAAAAACTATATGTAGGCACCAAAGGCATTTAGTGTTTTCACTGTCTAAGGAGGAATTGGATGTTTAGGCTTTTTTGTGTATCTGGCCCCAGGAGACTAAGCTATGTCTGACTCACACTCCTTGGAGTCTATATCACTTTGAAACTGGGGAAAACCCCACAGGTTTTTGAAGGCTTGACTCTTTATCTCATCTACTGCAGGATCGGGTATTTCTGACCAGCTGGCAAAATAACAAGGCCACTTGAAGGAATTACCTTTACAGAGATATTCCTATGTCCTGCTGCCACAGGCAGAACTTAGACCCACAGGATATGAAGCTCCCTGCTGTGCTGAGCAGCGTTAACCATGGTCCTCATGCAGCCAACAACCCGCACAAACCCTCTGGGGACAGAAATAAGACTTAGGTGGTGCCCTGCCATGACACTGCCTCTGGGCACGGTGGAATTTTTACACCAGGGCATCATAAACGTTTCTGCTTTGGAGGTGATACATTGGCAACTCTTTCCTAAATTTCCAAACACATTTTGATGGAGAAAACCAAATTCATCCCAGTTGTATTGTGCTTCCCCACGTATCTTCAGCAGATGGTTTCCATGTGATCTGCACACACAACCTAACACGGACACAGATGGCATTTGAATTGCACTGCAACTCCAGAGCTAAGTATTAAAGAATGGAAAACAATTATGCTGTGTTTTGCTATGTGTTTTCACTCTACATGGAACACTTTTACAGGTCACTGGCACCCACATCACGTGGGATGTACATGTGTGTGTGTTTAAGGAAGGAGGGGAGTGAGGGCGCACATGTGTACACACCCTATACAAGAAAATTTTTGAAGTCACTTTCTGCCACTGTGAGGGAGTGTTAATCAGTGAAGGAAAAATATAAAAATGCAGTCCTAGAAGGGACTGATGCTGATGCTGCAGGTGACATTGGATTGTCCTCACAGAATTCTACCAATGCCCATCGGTTTTTACCTATAGCAACTACTGTTGGGTTTCCTTTTTTTCACTCCCCCACCTTCCCCTGGAGATAACCTATCTGAGACCGATATCTTCATTTCAAGTCTTCCCTGAACAAGGAAGGACAATTGATCTGTGACTCTGGAGTGCTTTAAAAGAGGTGACCAGCATTTCATTTCCCTCTTGTGGCCTATATTGAGGCAGTTGTCTAGGCTCTGTCTCCAACTCCTAAACTCTAGTGCAAGGCACACAGCAGTTAGACTGACAGCATTGTATCAGGCTCCAGTTCTCCCACTGATGGCAACAACGAGCTTGTCAGAGTCCCCTGGTACCACCTGAATTTGTTTTAAAAATGTTGCAATCTCTAACTATGGCTCCAAAGAGGGCTGTAGGATTGGGGTGTTAGCGGGGTAGACAGAATGGAAACCCTAAATAGGGGAGGGGGAGAAGCAGGAAGGGGGGGAGGTAACATCTGATGACTTTCTTTCTAAAGCCAAAGAATAGATTTTGAGTGTGAAAGTACTCGATTTCTGCTTTTAACTAAGACAGCACTAAAATATTTTCTAAGGCACCTGATCTTTCTATGGACTTCAAGGGACTATGCAATAGATGCATTATATTCCTGGCTATAACTGCAAACAGTGGGGCTGTAAGTTTTGAGTTGAGCCCTGGGCTTTGAGTTTTCAGCTTAGACTGGCCAAATCAAGATTTTATGGATCTGGCCTGGAGTTTGCTATCAAACTTCAGGCTTTTTTGAACTTCTGTTCCTGACCTTGGAAATTCATCCATCGCTGATCTTTACATACTGCTTGTGCTTCATGCACACTTTTTACTCTTTGCCTCTCAGTGGTACCTGGCAATCGTTCAGAGCTGTCTCAGTCTTTCACCTTGAGTCTTCCCTTGCTGGCTGGATGAGCACAGTGGTTTGGGCCACGAAAGAGTGTGAAACCTGGGGTCAAGGAAACCAACAGGGTTGGTTCCTGTGATGTGCCTGAGCATTCCTGTAGCTCTTCTAGGCCTATGTAGAGACACACAGAAGAAAGAGCCCGAATAATGTATGTCTTTATTTAAGCTATACTTGGTAACATATTATTTTCCCTCCATTTCACTGCTGGCAGTTAGCTTGGCACTCAAGAATTAAGGACAGATTACAGTGATTTTCTTCTGAGCTCTGCTTATCAGTGGGGCTCCAGGGATGAGCCTGATTCAGCGGCGCTGCATGGTGGGTAAATGGACAGCCATGGAGACACAGTTCTTTCAGGAATGCTTGGGAATCTGAGATACCCCCTGCATATCAATCCTCTCCCTCACCAACGTTGTTTTATTCACCATCTAATGAACTGCACAGCTAATGTGCCGTACCAAAAATGGTCCCAAATGACTTGCATCCACAGGACAGCAGAATACCTACACTCTCAAGATTCAATCCTGGGAGGATGAGGATCCTCTGTTTAGAAGACTCGGGGTGGGTTTTTTTCCCTTTCATTTGTTATTGCAGCTGAAATAACATTCTAAAAAGTAATGGCAACTTTTCAAAAGCAATATTTCAAAGAAATTACTCTGGTCACTGGTGGTTTGTGATCCACTTGTTACTGTCCCTGGGGTAGAATGAAAGGAAAAAAAGCTTAACTAGAAAAAGAACTGGAGGGACTGTACTATTTATTTAGATGAGGGAAGATCAGTTGTGTGTTTGCAGAGAGGGAGAAGGGAGAGATGATATACACAGGCAGCCAATATGAGTCAGGAAATGTAACACACGAACAGCTTTAGCTTGAAGAAGAAGGTGTCCTATACAGTTCATAAGATGCAGGGCACATGTCACATGTTCTCCTGCCATGTAGCCCCCTTTCATATCCAGTGTCCCTGGCAGGGATGGACAGCAGAACCCCTGGAGCTGACTCGCTGCAGTCACAGGGCAGCGTCACTGTACAATAACTGAGGGTCACCTACACAAAACATCAGCCTGCAGAATGCAGTGGGTTGAGACAATTCATCCTGCATCCTTGGGATGGGTGTTTTGTGATATCTGCGTTCACTGCAGTCAAGTGACTCCATGATCTCTGGAGCACAGAGAAGTGTTGTCCCAGCAGTGCAACATGAAAGGCCACATGCAGGAAAGAAGAACCTGCCAGGTATGGACCCTGCCTTTCCATCTCATGGAAAGGGAGGCCAAGCATGTGCTGATACCTCAGGCTAGGACAAGAGTGTCACTTTATCTGCAGGGGGAGGATAGGAAAAGAAGAGCGGGGGCTGGACTCTGCAGGAAGCTGAATGTCACCCAGGAAAGCACATTCTTAACTTGAAGCATATGAATAGTCTACCGAAGTTAAGGGGATTAGTCACATGCTCCAAGTAAAGCACATGCCTAGGCACTTGGCCAGAGCAGTTCTGAGGGATGGGGTCAAGCCCCTTAATGCTGGGATAACAGATAACAGATTTCTAATTAGCTACTCCTCCAACTAAGAAACCACGCACTAGTCAAAAAGCTTGAATCTCTGTTCAGAAGGATTTTTCAAAGCCTCCCCAAAATGCAGAAGCTCAGACTAGATATGAGTGTGCTTTGGCTCAGGATAGATGGAGACACTAACCATCACAAATTTGGATCTAGGTGTATTTTGAGTCAACCCTGCTCTAAAGACGAGTCGGAGCCAACAGAAAGCATGGTGAGGCTGTGAGCCCCATTCAAGGGTATGGAAGCACGTGGGACTCCTCCCAGTTCTGTGAGTAGCACGGGGGAAAATTCACAATATCCCAAGGGGGTTTTGCCATTACTTAAAGCAGTGATGAGGAAACTGGTGCTTGGACAACCAGTCCAAACTGTTTTGGGGGATCCAGTTGGAGATTAAGGTGATGTGATCACCTGCTGCTTCAGACATTCCCACAGCTTTTAAGATGCTTCATAGCCACAAAGGCCTTACAGACCCTGTGCTATAGCAAGTGGAAAATCACAGAACTGGCCCAATGATCCGGGGTTAACACTTTTCTGTTGACAATGAAAATAATCATAACCCTCTTCCACCATTGCCACACACAGATGGACACACAGGCTCATATATATCTTGTAAACCATCACTCCATCAAGGCAAAACTGTTTTCGTGCCAGCTGCAGAAAGAAGGCAAAGCTTTGAAAATCCATGAAACAGCAAAATTACTTCAATTTCTTTAAATCTTACTGCTATACCTCTTTCAAAACTGTATCTGTAGAAAAATACACCCTATGAGCACTCATGGACCACACAAGGATACATCATCACAGGAGCTTCTGTAGTGCTTTCCATGCCACAGGGTCTGATGGTGGACTCCAGCTAGATACCTCTGTGCACTTTGGTTTACCTGGGTCACTCCAGATATCTGTATTCACATGAAACACCTTCTCTATCACACTCAGCCCTGTAGAGGAGGAAGAAAGTCTGCATTCAAAGCTGTTTTAATGAAACAGCTATAATTTTCCTAATAATATCTTAATGGGAAGTTGTTTGTTTGCAAAATTTTTCATATCTCAAAGAAATGAACAATTTTTTATAGGTCTTTCCTGGTTTCCAGTTATTGGTTTTCTGCTTTCAGCTTTCATTTAGCTTTCCAAGGCTGTTTTTATTTTAAATTTCCTTCTTCTGTTCAATGGTAATTTATCATCCTCCTTACCGAGTAGGCACTTGCACAGTCAAATGGTTTCAAAACTTTTCAAAACCACTCTATTTGAAAACCTTGCCAGAAAAAAATAAATAAACCAATCTACTTATAAAGGAAGTTTCTTCAAGGCTTGTATTTTCAACATGAATAAATAAATAATTTCTCTGGTCACATCTAATGGAAAATGAAATTATGAAACTTCAGTTGACAGGGATGGCACTTCAGTGGCAACACACTGACTTAGCAGCTGGCATTGGCATGTTTGGGGAATTTGTAGACAACAAAAAGCAAAAGCTAGGTAGTTGAGAAAGAAGGAAAGAACCCCAAATCTACCCTACTCCAACATGCCTTTCAGAAACTTCATTTCTCGGGGTATTGTTAATACAGCAACATCATCACACAAGGTGTAATGGGGAAGAGGGGCTGCAGGGAGAATAGCTGGCTATGGAATTTTATTGTGTAAGAATTATTTGTTAGCCATATTTTTTTAAACCAAGCAATACTGTTTCTTGCCAGCTTGAGTAAATGGTATGACCTGGAAATTAATAAATTAATACCTGCATTTCTGTGCAGCAGGCACAGCCTCAATAGGTTGCCTCCTTCTCCTTGTGAGATTTTTTAGGCGCAGAGGATGACTTTTTACTGACTCATGATGGCATGCAGCTATCATGTACAAAAGGATTGCTGGTACTATCCCTGAATTAAGAGCATGTTGGGTTGGGTTGGTTTAGGGGAGACCTTTTTTCTTTGTCCTGTCTCCCTTTGTCTGTATATTTGTCAGTGGTGCCCTCACTCCTGCATATGGCAATTCAGTCATCCTTCTTCAGTCCCTTTGGTTACACCCTTGGCCCTTCTTCCCCACATTCCCCTGAGCCACTGGTCCCCTGCAAGGACTCAGTGTCCTCATAGCCAAAATGCTTTCCTTCCTCTAATGGCATTCACCCACCTCTCCAGACTTAGCTGTTCATTTAGATCTTCTGGGACCTATGACCTGAACAACGGGAAGAGCAGAGTGAAGGAAAAAGGAGACAATAGGGAGAGGAGTAGCAGGAAAAAGAGAAAGACCAAAAAAGAGAGAGAGTTCCATTTGCAGATTCACAGTTATATCATACAATGCTTAAGCTCATGGGAAATGGATCTCTGTTCTCTGCATCTGACCCTTTCACGTCCATCTGTACACAGTTCTCCCAGATGGAGAGTGGAGATATCCAGTGATCCAGTTTCCAAAGACAAGATGTAGGAAGGTCTTATTTGGCATACATGAACACAATGAGAGGCATCTCTTACTTCTCTCTGACTGAAATTAGCTCCCTTTACCTCCTCAGCAATGGCTTTTGCCCAGATGTCTTAAACATCCAAAATGGAAACTTGATGAAATCCCATTCCAGCAAATATCTGGGAAGAACAACTGCCAGGGCTCCCCCCACCTCCCTTCTCCTTAGTCGGTTTTCCTCTGGATCCACCATCCTGAACCCTCAGATGCTCCGTGAAAACAAAAAAAACATCCCAAGATCCATCAGAGAAGATGTGCTGTCTCAGACCTGACGGATTTCTTCCCGTTTCTGCCATTGCGGTGCCTCAGTCTTGGGCCACAAACACAGCATGGATGGTTTGGTGGACAATCACATTGCAATGTTTTAAATTTTTCTTTTTGTTAAAAAAAATAAATAAAGGAAGAGGGAAGAAAAAGTTCTACACACATGTATCACAGCATTTTCAAAAGGCCTTCTGCTGCATTTACACTAGCAGTTCAGCCTCAGTTGTAAGCCTGGATGTAAGGCAGCTGGAAGATTAAAACCGCATTGTTGGAAAGTCCGCTGAGATGTCCTCTTGGAGTTTTTTGTTGTTGTTGCTGTTTCTGGTTTTATTTTCTTAAATCTGTGGGGGTTTATTATTTATTTTTTTTTTACTTGTTTGCTTCTCTCTAAAGTTTGGCAGGCAAAGAGAAAATGCTTGTCTGCTTTTCCTCACATGTTTTGTCCGTTTTGTTTTCTGTGTTTTAAGGGAAAAAAACCCAACAAAACCCCAAAACCAGTGACAGGACAGGCTTTCTGTCATTTTGTTTTAAGAAAGAAAAAGAAAATGGGTGGGTTTCTGACAGTGGCCTTGAGGAGGTACGTTGTTGAGGTGGCTCAAATGCTTCATTTACTCCTTTGCTTGCTGTTTGTATTTTCCCTTCTGGTTGCAATGGACACGCTTTTTGTGTCATTTTTCCCCCCGCGCCCCCACCCCCACCATGTCCTGTACAGATTCTGGTTCCAGATTCCCCATATGGATCCCCTCTTCCCCTTCCCAAATGGCAGTAGGTAAGTGCAACTGTAGGTTCATTTGACCTCTAAGGTATGATGCTGAAGTTAAAAGTCGGATGGAAGAGCCATGTGAGAGAAAAGCTTTCCCATCGCTGTGAGAAAGAATGAAGCAACACAGAGTCCAGTGGAGATGTGAGTGCCGTGTTGGACTCAGCTCTACCTTGGCACTGGCATTAATTTGAGATTTTATATATATTTATAATTATATATACATATATATGCATGTATAGGCATACAAAGACATATATATATATATATGTATGTATTGTGTGTGTGTGTGTATTTGTTTGCTATTTGTTTTAGCACACTGTCCCATTCTCAGGTCTAGATTTGGGGTGGTTGGTCCTGGGGACAGGTTGGACAGAAGGGGCCAGAGTGCAGAAGAAGCCAGAGATAAGAGTGAGGCCCAGGCCCCCCCACGCACAGAACATGGACCAGCCATAGCCATGGCTGATGTCGTCGGGAAGTCCATACAGGTAGCGGGGGTAGCGGGAGAGCTCAAAGTTGATTCCAGCCACGCACGTGCACAGTGAAATGATGCAGAAGGTTCCTGGAGGAGAGCAGGGAGGGGAGAAGGAGGGAGGAAAAAAACAAAAGAGAAGTTAGAAGAGTGACAGACATATCAATTTCCAAGCTGCCCGAGAGGAGCGGGTGCAAGCAGTGAGGAAGTGCCTAAAGGAAGATGTCTGTGCAGAAAGCGGCTTAGTCTAGTGGCTCCACGGGGAAAGAACAGAGTGCCACCAGAGCCTTGAATATTGATCTGATGCTGAACTGAGTTCAATGGAGAAACTTCAATAGGAACAGTTTTTCATTACGGGCACTCCCTTGCTGAACCCGAATGCTTCATGAAACCATTGATTTTTCTGAAACTTTGCTTTAGACAAACACAGAGTGAATAATCATGTTTCAAATTTTTTTGAGGGGAAAAAAGCTCGAATTTTTTGTTTAATTCCAATTTTTCAGTGATGCATTTCATAGAATACTACAAAATACTTGACATATTCTGGCTCTGTTGAAGTGTACATTTGAAATTACTTGGGAGATTTTCTTCACACGTTTCTTATATCAAAATACAGAACTTTTCATTATACAGCCTCCTTTTAAATATCACTGTAAAAATCTCTAAATCCTTCACAAAATTCAGATTCTGCCCTCTGCATGACTCCAGTCAATCTAGATGCCCTGTGCAGTGTTGGTAAAATCTTCAAAATATCCTGTTCTTGTTTTCGATTTCTGCAGCAATATTTCATTTATTTCTTCCTGAGAACACTGCGAGGACAAACTTCATAACTCTGTCAGGTGATGTTATGGAAAGACACAAGTATCAGATGAGGCTGAACTTTATCCCACCCAGATGAGTCTAATTTTGATCTTTGGCCTCCAGCTTCATCACAGCTAGACTCTGAGCTCCTGAAATGTCACAATTGCCACCCACACACCGAATAATGGATAGCTACAGATGCTACACGCCTGCCTCAAGAGATAACAACTCAAGTCAACATAAAGTTGGTAGTTTATTTTTCCTCTCTAATTCCTCCCTTTGTGGGCCTCTCTGAGTTGCCTGGAGCGCCCTGGGAATGGAAGGCAGCCTACAGGACATGTGCTGTAGTACACACACGGTCAGTGCCGTGTGTCATCCCGCTGTTCATGCCCAGATCAGTAGTGTGTGATGTGTGCTACCTGCACAGCATGTCCTGCATCTGTGCACTAGCAGCTGCATGTGAGGAATCTCCTATTCTTCCTGGTCCCATCCCTAAGATAGCACAATCTTCCAAAGCAGTCACAGCCAGCCTGGTTTCAGTGACATGCTCCAGTTTTCTGGTGCCCTGGCCCCCTTCTACTCCTTCCTGCCCCTGCTCCTGCTTCTCTTCTGCAGCAGTTTTTCTGTTCTTTCTCTGCTGCTTTTCTCTTTTTAATTGCAGCTGCATGAAAAAAAATGGATTTGACACTCCCCACTCTGAAGACAGAGGTAAGATTATTTGGTGAATTCACCTGGAATTCGGTTCAGAAACTGGGGACATTTGCAGGCATATATATACACCACCAAAAATACGTGAACTTTCCACCATACCCACCTCCTTTACTTAGTAGGAACATCACACAGGTCTAGAATCTACAGGCAAATCTCTGTCACGGACCTGCTGTGAGATCACCATCCTGGCCCTCTCTCTGTTGCTTCTTCTGGTCACTGCTGTGTCTGTTTGGACTGTCTTTTCTCCAGTGTATTTTTGAAGTATCACTTGTAGATAGTCTCTGTTGTTAAAGTCGGGGATATGGGAACTCTGAGTGCCTCCCCTAACACCATAAGTAGCTGCCAGATGACCCAGGGTATTCATAAGGACTCATGATAGTTCCACCAGGTACCAGTGAGGGTCAGTGAGCTGCTGCAGTAGGTACTATGCCTGTTTAAATCAAAACAGCCTTCTTGCCTCTCACCAGCACCCTCTTAGTCTGCAGTCAGGGTTCTGGATTCTTGCAAAAGCCTTGTGAGATCCCAGGCTCTGGAACTGTCTTTTGAAGGTGTCCTATACTACTTCAAAGCACAGAGCCGGATAAATGGGGAGGTCTCCCTCCCACAATTCCTTACTCAAAAATCAGGTTGTTTGATTAGAAACCACACACCCTTTCCATGTTTTAGGTTATCCATGTGACTTAGGTTATCCAGTAACATGAAGGTGTCTGTCAAGAATGCGGTTGTTCCCTGAGTGACGTGTCAGAATGACTAGCACTACATTGTGGGATCGGGAAAAAAGGATGCATCAGAAGCACTGTGCTCTGAACCAAGCTCCGTGGTTCATTCCAAATAGTTGTGGTTAGAAAATGACAGGGAAGGCCTTTCTTTGCTAGTAAGAACATGGTAATTTCAGCTCTCTTAAAATAAGAGAGGTGGGTGGGAAAATCTGTGTGGCCAGACTGAAGCCGCATTTGCTAAGTACAAAAGGGAAGGAAATAACTTTGGATTTCAAATACTCCCTGTGCTTTCACGCTTTGTCTTGGCTGTTTTGATCACAAGCTCTTCAGTGCAACAAATGTTGCTTATTCTTTGTATTTGAACAGTGCCCAATATGTTGGCACTCCACCTTGCTTGAGGGTGTTCTGTCCCTTAAGGAAGGAACAACAAAGAGCAAGTAAAAACACTAGAGAACTAAGCAAATCACGAGCATGAGACTTCTTTAAAAAAAGGCTGCCCCCATCCTGCCCCTTCACTGGAGAATGTGCTAAGCCCACAATGACAAACAATGACTGCCAAGCACAATGTCACAGAGTGCATAGGACGGTCCTCAGCTGGTCACCACCCTGTGCTTCTGCAGGACGTCTTGTACAGCACAGGGTTATCAGCCTCTCCAGTGCTATTCATTGCAGACACAAAAAATGTCATTTTATACCACCTGGAAGAATCTTTATGGCCATTTTATGAGTCCTATGTGTTGCTTGTATTCAGCCAAGCAAGTTCCCACTTACAAGTGGGAGCTAATCTGGCCTCTCACCAGGAGGGCTGCTGATGGAAACTGAGTAAGGTTACTTCCTCATGACTGTTCAGTAGCTTTTCCTCATGGCAATCACAACACAAATTGCTTGATTGTTGGCCACAGTCATGGATAAAAGGAATGCAGAAACTAAGCTTACATATGGAAATGAAGCCTCTGCTAGTCCAGGTAAGACATGGAGCCGAGGTGGCAGGAGGAGGGAGGCTGTCACTCCTGCCCATGACTGTCTGCACTACGGACATGGTGCATCAAAGGCAGCAGGACTGCAGGAAGTCATGAGCATCCCCACCCCTACAATTCTTTTTCTCTCTAGAAGTTAAAGTGAACCCTTACTCACTTTCCTGTCAAGTTCTCGCTGTCAGTGATGTGCCCCCCTACATGTGCACTAACGCCTCAGAACCCCTGGCAGCCAGAGCAATACAAACTCTAATTTCTTTGTGAAAAACACTCCCTGTAACTGTGGCCCAGCAGATAACCAGAGCTGAAGGCTGGTGGTCCAGCTGTGGCACTGACACACAGAATGTGAATGACAGGTGGTAATAGGAGCTTGCTGGAATATAAGCTGGACAGGGGAGATAAAGGTCATCTCCTTCAGCAGCTGGGGGAAGCAGAACACACAAAGTTCTTTGTGCTGGGATTTACACATTTTCATCCTAAGTAAAACACTAATGAATGAGACAAAGCAACAGTGGCATTTTTGACAAGTAATTCACGTGTCACTGCAAAATGCTTCAGTCAGGTGAGAGATGAAATTTCATATAAAGTTGTGCCTGTGCCACAGAAACTGCTGTTTGACATGTAGTCAAACCTCCATCCTGACTACTTATCAGGTAGCCTCCCTTCTCCTTGGGCTGGTTTTGACAGTGCCTGTCCTGCTAATGGGCTGATAATCAACAGTAGTTTGAGAACATGAGCTATTAAATACTTCTTGGCTACCTTGCGCTTTTCCTTCTTATATATTACAGAAGAATATTAATTATTACATTGAATGTCCCTTCCATTTAGATTGGAAATTTTTTTAGGACAGATATGAATTTATTTGCTATATATGTGTATAAGATTGGGGTCCTGCCATCCTTGCTGCAGGGGCAGACACAGTCAGAAGAGGGATGACAGGAGAAGGTAATGTCATTGTTGGTCAAAGCCTAATTCTGTGTGGATTATGAGTTAGGGCCCTTTGCTGTAGCTGTTTTTAAGCATGATTACACCAAGCAGAGCTATTGGCCTGTGCTGAGAGGAATTAATATTTTTATAGGTAAATATCCCTTTTCTTTCTGATCAGCCCAGCTCTGTGAGGGGCTGCAGCGCCTCTGCAGTTTTTAAAACTCACCTCCAGGGGAGAGCAGAACTGCTCTCTGTGAACTGATTTAAACACAGACAGGCTCAAATCATCCATACCAAATATGTTTTAATTTTCCCTGATGCTAGTGCCCCCCTGAACCATGTAAGAAGCCACATCCTTCACCCATACAAATGGCTCGACTTCCACAGCAAAAGGCCTTGAGGAATTTCCCAGGGTCTGTGGTGTTTTGTGAGGCAAGAACTGCTGCCTTTCTTAGATCTGCTGCAAATGAAGGTGAGCCTTCCTGGTGCTGGGGCACAAACAGTCCCTGTTGGCAGGAGCTTCGTCTGAACATCCTTAGCTCTAATATTAGGGGTGAGATGTCTGACTGAAACCTGAAGGAGACATCACCAATTTGAAGTCAAGGGAAATCCAAAAAGTGAATAATTAAAATGATCTGGGCACCACGCCTACCTCTGAGACACTCCTCTATAGAGATCACCTGTCTCATGATTTGGAAAACACTTCTTCTGCATCTGGCAGAATGACGCTTGTTCTTTCCCTTCTCCCCACAACAGACAGAAATGACTCACAAACTGTGCTGTCAGATGTACAAAGTAAATAAATGCAAAACCTGATTCTTCTCACCTTCTGTTTTTGGTTTGTGTTTTGTGGTTTTGTTTGTTTGTTTGTTTTAATAGAGAAATTTGAAGTATTGCTTATAAACTATTAGATAAAAAGAGAAACACAAAGGTATGGATTTTAAGATGTCCTTTGAAA